TGCGGATAGCAAAACTCATAGTGCCCCGCTATTTGTTAACTCCAGAATCTTACCAATAACTATGCTCTATTCTCATTTGGTTTCCTCTTTGATGCATGACATTGATAATCACCGTGCCCTGTCTAATATTTCTATGCTCTTTCTCCACTCTGAGCAGGTTCATCAGCATTTCACAAGATTCTCAGCAACGGCTAATCTATACGTTAAAGCGTCTAGAACTAACCAACTTTTATTTTCTTTTGCTAGAATAGGTGTAAGATTGTGGAATAGCATCCCAAAAGAACTTCGTATTAAAAACATAACCCCGTTTAAGCGTGAACTTAAAAATCCCCTGTTAAAACTTTTGGAAAATGAGGAGATGACTGTTGATATACGCTGCTCAGAAATTTGTGGATATCTCTTGATAAAGTAACTCTTCGTTTAAGTCTTGTTTCAATTGTATTATATATCTTGATAACTCTGCAATTTGATTATTTAATTATTCAACGGACTTAATTTTATTTCATTTTATTTAACAATTGTATTTTTATTTCATGATTATCTTTGTTTAATTGTATCGGTATGTGATCATTAGCAGAGACAGCACTTGTTTTAGAAGGGTGGCCCGCCTAGAATAGCTTGCTAATTGCGGGTCACCTAGGACTGTGATAATATTGTATTGCTAAAGAAAAAAAAAAATTAAAAAAAAAAAAAGTTGAAGGCGTTCGACGCGTCTATAAGCAGAACGGCGTCGCTGTTGTCATGTTCAAAAAGTTCCTGCATTGCGTGAAAAGCCGCCTCGCTCCCACTCCTATGACCGGCGCACACTTGTAATAAAAACAATAATAATAATAATAATAATAATGATAATGATAATGATAATGATAATGATAATGATAATAATAATAATAATAAAAGGAACATTGGCACTATCCAAACTAGAGCTGGGATTTTTCAAAAGTAAATGTACCTTTTCCATTGGAGTTCCTGACTGGTCTTCCGTTGTATCAGCTTCAAAGATTTTGTTGTCAAACCACATGTGAGCTGTAAAGAAAAATTTAAAAACGTTATATCTTTTTAAATTCATGGACAGACCTCTCAGAAAAGTAGTACATTATTTAGGCGTGTTCAAAAGTCACAAATGAATGCTCTATTTAAAATAGAAGACACCGCTCTATTTTGTTTGTTTCCACTGTATCTTTCATGGTAATGGCTAACAACACGTAATAGAAAGTCAAGCATTGAAATTCAGTGCAGGCATGTCATTAAAAAGAAGAGTTACCCGCTATGTTTCCCGACCATTAATCCCATCATGCTTCACCTTTAGGGCTCTAGCAAAGGAGTCTGTGAGAATCAGAGAGTTGTGAAAGCTATGGCTACACACTATGGCTGTCTAAGTGCAGGTTATGTTGCAAATTATTGCAAGTAATGTTGAAAACACTGAACTAGGTCTTTCAGATACTGAGTAAAGGCAGATGATGCTTTCAGACCATCATAACAAACAAGTGGGAAGAACTCTTACAGCTTTGTCCTATGCATTGATGAGTGTACGTATTTCTTGTGTAGTTGAGAAGTTTCCACATAAGAATCATACCACACTTACCCACAGTCATTCTGTTTTGTGTCAAAGTTCCTGTCTTGTCTGAGCAAATGGTGGATGTACTTCCCAGAGTTTCCACTGACTCTAAGTTCTTCACCAAGCAGTTTTTGGCTGCCATGCGTTTAGCAGTGAGAGTTAGACAAACCTTGGATGAGAAATCAGAGAAGGTTTTATAGAGTCATATAAATACATTCAACAGCACAGAAAACTAATCAACATCTTGAGGTTTTATCAAATTCACGGTAGATAACCCTATACCTATAAAAAAAAAAATTCCTTTGGATTAAAAAATTCAAATTAACGCCAATTTACCACTGAAAAAAAGAGGGTAAGAAACTTTGATGCTGTGTTGGTGGTGGGTATTACAAGATTACTGGCTTCATCAACTGAGTCCATAATTAAAAATTGGTTCATGCTTTAGCGTGCACTATCGAGTTATGGAGCCCGTGGTAAGTTTGGAGAGCACAAAAGAAGCAAAAGAGTTGCCCGAGGCAATAGCCAAGGGCAACTCTAGCTTCTTGAATGCTTTCCAAACTTCCCACGTGCTCCATAACTCGATAGTGCACAGCTAAAAGCATGAACCAATTGTTTTATAACATAGCCGGTGGAATTGTGCATCAAATCCGACGCAAAAAACGAACAACAATGTCAAAAGCGAATCGTGACGGCGCTGATGCCGAGTCTCCTTTTTCGTTGTTTTTCTCTTTTTCTGCCTCATTTAAGAACTCCAGCCCAAAGGAAAAGGTCGGAAAATTGTCTTCGTTTTGGGACTGGTGGGCCTAGTCTTTTTGTATCATTACTGTCGCGACTATATATTTTTCCCCATGCTAACAATGGCTGCTCGTGCGAAAAAAAAAAAAATTCTGGCAAAGTGATTCACTCAGGCTATCAGCGTGCACTATCAGGATTTTGAGCACGCTTACGTATACTGAATTTGATTGCATGGCTTTGCTTGCTATGATATAATGTAAATTGGCCACTGCGGAGAATTTCTAGAGCTGCCATTTCTCAGCTCGAAACGTCAGCTTTGGCAACTCTCTATGGCAGCCAATTGACATTATCAATAATTATTTAGGTGATAAAACCATATTAGCAGTGGCAAATGCAGATCTTTTATGTTATCATTAATAGTACGAACTTGGGAGCTCCGTTTTTAGGCTTGGCTAAATCTATATATTACCCAAATTACCACTGCAAGGCGTGGGGTCCCCTAGATAAAACGGTCATAAAACCCTCTAAGTTTTCCTACTTCTGTGATGAATTCCAATTACAGCAAACTACCCAAGACTTAGAGGCTTGCATACTTTCAGGATACAAAAAAGTCCAGGGTAGAAGAAGTTGATAATACAACATATGCATGCCCTGGGTCTTTGCCTTCTAGACCTGAGCATTACTGCAAGTGTAACTGACCAGAAAATGTGTTATAGACTATAAAGGAAAATTGGGTTATAAAATTTATGAATGCAGATTTGAACAAACGTCAGTGGCATCGTAACAATGGAAACCATTTAGTACAGAGAATTACTAACTGTAACGGTGGCAAGAAGTCCCTCGGGCACGTTGGCAACAATAATCCCAATTAAAAAGATGCAGGCAGTGAGCCAGTGGTATCCAAGGATTAGTGAAAGAATGAAGAATGTTACTCCAAGAGTTACAGCAACTCCCGTGATAATGTGAATGAAATGTTCAATTTCCAAGGCAATGGGTGTCTTCCCTGACCCTAATCCACTGGCTAAGTTGGCGATGCGTCCCATGACAGTGTTGTCGCCTGTTTGAACAACAACACCAGTACAGGTTCCTTCAACTGCATTTGTTGAAAAAAATGCCAAATTCCTTGTCTCCAAAGGATTGTCATGGGAGAATTCTGGAGTGCGGGCTTGGGGCTCTGATTCACCAGTGAGAGATGAGTTGTCGACCTTGAGGTACAAAAAAAATATGATTGTAAATCTAAAATAATTATAACAGTTTATAATTATAATGAGCTTAATAATACACATATTTTGATTGCAGGTTCCTACATTATGCTTATGATATTTTGGAAGACAGATGCAGACATTGCCATTAACAATTTCTGCTTCTTTATTACAAAATAATTACATTCTACGTGGCCATGAGTGACACACTTGGCTGCACCACTTGTGCTGCTTTACTTATTCTTACCACATTCCACATAATCTGTGATCTATTACTAAACAGACACCCTGCAACATGGAGTCTATCTATCAAACTGATGAATATGGTTCTGTTATTATATGGCTGTGTCTCATAAGGACTTGAAACTACCGAATTTACGAATTTGATTGGCTGAAATCATTATTGAAAGTGGCCTAGATTTTCCCATCTAGACCAGTCTAGAAAAAAACGGTACAAACAATATAAAAAGTTGGCATATAAGACACAGCCATATAATAAACATCTTATTAACCGAGCTAGGTCGGACTGTATGGGAGAATCTTGACCTCGGTTGCTGGTACAGACCTCACTGCGTTCGGTCTGTACTGGCAACCTCGGTCAAGATCCCCCCATACAGACCTCCCGCTTGGTTAATAAGAACTAAATAATTATAATAACGACAACAGTGATAACGATTATTGGTACTGTAATCTTTAACAATAATGATGATATTTGTAAACTGTCAAAGCAATCTTTGCAGTAATAAAGACTACTTGCGCAGTAATGAGAATAAGGCCTGAAAAAATTCAGGTCCATATGGAATTTGAACCCACAACCTCTGCCATATCAGTGCAGTGCTCTACCAATTGAGCCAACGAGCCAACTGGGAGCTGGTCATTATGATGGTTTGTAATAAACCCGTGAATTGATGAATAAATGACTGTGAATACATGAAAATCCTAGATGTGAACTGCAGGTTAAAATATCAAAATATCAAATAAAAGTGATCTTTGCAGTGATGAACATTACTTGGAATGAGCAGTAGTGAAAATAAGGCCTGAAAAAAATTCAGGCCTGTATGGGATTTGAACCCATGACCTCTGGGATAGCAGACAGTGCTCTACCAACTAGGAGCTGGTCGTTATGATGATTTGCAATATCATTTACACGTATTTTCACTTACAATTTGTTTTTTCACTTATTTACTTGCTCCTCAAGTAGTGTTCATTACTGCAAAGTTTGCTTTGATATTCATTTCTTTATCCGCAGTTAACATATATGATTTTTTTTAATATTTTCACAGTCATACAATAACGATGATGATTAACAAAAGTCTGGTAAGGGTGCAAAGAGTAATATTTTGAAAACAGGTTATGAAACTATATACACAAAAAATGCACCTTGAAACCACGTGCTTCAAGTATACGGATATCTGCAGGCACTCTGTCTCCAAACTTCACAAATATAACATCTCCCAGCACAAGTTTTTCTGCATTTATGTTTTGTTTCTCCCCATTTCTGAGGACAGTAGCTTCCTGTGAATGAAAAGTTTTGTTTCCATTAATTCTACATCTCTAAAAAGAACTGGTAAATCATTTTTTGAGTAATAAACATAAAAACACTTGAGAAGCAAAAACCAATTGAAAGAAATTGTCCAATCATATAGTTAACAGCATTGGAAAAAAATAATTATACAAAAAAAGGTAGTGTTCCCTATGAAGCAGGGGTCGATTGAAGAGCATTGTTCCAGGAAATGTGGAAGTCTAAGGCTTGTTTCTTTGTGGGAACTCAGATTTTTTTTTCTTGGTCCAACATTTGTAATTGATGAACACCTTTATTCGACAAAACCTTTTTTGACACCCAAACTCGGAACAAACATGTCTCAACGCACATAGTGTAGAACAAACGTTTTAACAGTTGCAAAATATTAACATTTTGATTTTACTACTACTAATAATTTCTATTTAATAATAATAATTTATTTACTTATATCGCGCATGTTACATATGAAGATGCTCACATGTGCATCACAACACTCTTTGGAGGACTTAGGCCGGACTGCATCAGCAGCTGATAATCAATCAAAGGAAACTTATTTGAAGATGCCCCCCTCCACCCCAATTCCCAGTGAACAGGCTAGACCACATCACAGTCATCTGTAAGTGCAGGGTTCTTTAACGTCCCCTGCCTAACCAAATTAACTGATTAATAGATGCAGGAGACGGGACCTACAGTTTATTCATCCTTATCCGAGAAGACTAGAATGTCTATCCATTTCTTGATATTATAGAAAGGTAGCACATTCTCCTCAGTTATCTTAAGACCCTGAGTGTTGGTCTGGCCAGGGCTCAAACCTTTGACCTCTCACACAACAGTCGGGCACTCTAACCAATTGAGCTAACCAGGAGGTGGTTGTTTCACATTCCTACATCAACAAGAGGCAAGAAGTGCAATCATTTCAATGCCTTGTTTTTCTTTACATACAGCCAGTTTGAAGATTTGTTTTTATAGTTTGAGACAAGGAATTTCTGATGTTTTCCTTACAGGCACTTCATTCTTAAATTCAAGACTTCTTGGGCACAAATCTACACGTAGAACTCAACTTCAACTACATGAAGATTTCAGTCGATCTCTTACCTGTGGTACCATTTTCTTGAAACTCTCCATAATCTTAGAACTCTTGGCTTCCTTTAGTCAAGAAATTATCAAAAGAAAATGAGTAACACTGCCAAGTAATGTAATTATGAAATTGTGTAGTTTGGGAGCCTACATGCGTCTTGAATCCCCATCATTTTTATTGTTTACAACTTGCAAATTTTGCATGAAGCCACTTGTCTCGATTGCAAAAACAAAAAGCATTTGGTGTCAGGAGTTTTGTTTACAGCGACAAAAGCTGGTACACAGACCTGATAATAGGAGAAACATCCAGTTATGATAACCACTGTGGCAAGAACTATTCCAAGGTAAAGCTGACAGAAAAAAAAAGTAAGAATTGGTAAAACTGATCAGAATCTAAAAAACATGTTTAATGTTGTATCATTTGTATATTTATAATAGCATAAATTAGCCTGTGATCAAAATTAATAATGCATGTCACTTCTTTGCTGACTGGTCTGGTGCATGCTGGTCAGGCTATCACAGTTGTGGGCTAGTAACATCTTTAATAGTCCATTTTACACTGTTGTATGCTTGGTTGCTGAGCCTTTGAACTGGAGTGAGGCTAAGGGTGACCTTGCTATGATACAAACATTGCTGGTTTTTAAATGCAGATTACTTTGTGACCATGCTAAAAAGATACTGGTCTCCATCAGAGCAAGGTCACCTTCAGCCTCACTCCAAATCAAAGGCTTGGCAACTAAGTCTACTAGACAACTGTAAAATGGCCTATATTCAAGACAAAAGCCTGGTTTTCATTAGTGATGTAAGCAGTCAAGCACATTCACAAACCCAAGCACAAACACAAGCATAACAACTCTCTTATTTCACTATGTCAGCCTTAAAACAAGCAAAAGCCAAAGATAAAAAAAAACGAATTCTGATCCTTCTGCTTGTACTTGCATTTATGCTTGGGTCATGACTGTTTTTACACCTGGAAATAAGAGCTTGTAATGCTTGCATTTCTGCTTGCATTTGCTCTGGCATCACTAGCCAAAGGCTTAATACATGAGCCATCACCACAACTGCTCAAAAAATTTTATATTAAACAGCATCAGGTCATTCTCCAATATTCAATACTTACATCATCTTTATCAGGTTCCTCCATTGTGGATGCTTTGATTGCAAAAGTAATAAAACATAGAATAGCACCAATCCATAGCAGCATGGCAAAGCCACTGAACAGCTGTTTGCAGAATTTCACCCATTCAGGGGTTGTTGGTGGTGGAGTCAGAGCATTGGGTCCATCCCGCTCAAAGATTTCATCAGCCTTCTGCTGAGTGTGACCCTTTAGGAAAAAATTGATATGAAACTTTCTTACAACTTGCATCACTTTTACAACAGAACAATTCAATTTGGTCCACATGCTTAGCCTAGTCCATAATAGCAGTACCTAAGTACCTAAGATCTGATAGTTAACCTTGCCTTTAGCTGCTTTGCATTTCCCTCTAAATTAGTTACCAGCATTTACTTTTACCAAATAATTTTGATTATATAGAGTATAGCAGAGATGCCAACCGCTGGAGATTCTTTTTTCAGACCAGTACCCCCACCCAACTGAATTCACCAATACAACCCCCCCCTGAAAATTTCTTTTTTGATTTGGACCTCCAACCCCCCATGATTGAGATTCAAACTGAGGACCTTTGAGTATCTGTGAGTGCACAGAGCAATTTTGCAGGAAAGACATGGATCTGTCTGTCAGGGACTTCAATTGGTTGAATACTCATCCAATCAGACTCACACTTATGTAGGAGTGACAAAGATCAAACTCGATCTCTTCTTTTTGTTTGCAATGAACAACATGCCTTGCGCAGAAAAATTAAGCCAGAAACCATAATACAAGCATAAGAAGTCAGATGACTTTGGAATTTTGGAACATATCGAGTGAAAATCTGAGTTTTTTTATGGGCAACTGATCAAAACTTCCTTTTATCTGGGAGTTTTGCTCAACTGCACAGGAGAGTGGGAGATTGGCTCTGTATCCAGGAGAGCTGGCATGTATGCTATAGTTGAATCTGTATTGAGCAGTCACCCACTGGGAAAGGTGGGGTGACGGCTTAATACAGGATGACCCTAATGGTTGCAACAAGTTCAACAGAATAGGGGTGCAATAAAAAATTATAAATTTAAAAACACCAATTTATCCCTGGCCATAATTGATCTCTTTATATTCAAAACTCCCTCAAAAATACTGCTAGCTGTGATTTTGGGAGATCAACATTAAATTTTACTTGAAATAGAATTCTTAGTTTTATTTGCTTGTTCAATACAAGTGGAAGATAATACAGTCATGTTTCCTTCCTCTTCTTCCTTTTTGAAATTAAAGTATACTCTGACATTCTGTGCAGGAAATCCTTTTTGGTCACTCCTTGTGTGTGGATCGATTCATATAATATGCATGACGTGCTAGCTGTTGATAGCAGTGAAAGCAAAATTTCTTGCTAAGAAAAACCAACACTGCTCTCCCCGAAAAATAAGCCCCTGATTGTGGAACAAAATTCTTCTTGTCTTAATGTAATGACCAAAATTAATCTTTATTGGTTTCTAAGAGCTCATTGGACCTTGTTACTTGAGTGAATATGCCTCCTGAAAAAACACTGAACATTCTTGAGTGACTGAGGTCATGTGATGATGTCATGCGACAAAAAAGGCGGCAGAACACAAAAACAGGGAACCTAGCAACACTTAACCTTAAAAAATGTATAAAGAACAGTATGGATAATAATTATGTTGAAGAATTAATTGATGTTGAAGGGGTAACTTTTTCATTAGTCTGAGTGACCCACAGTAGATTACTCTGACCTTTTGCAGATCAGTGCCAAACATGGCTTCAAGATCATCAAGTGCTATCTTGTGCTCATCCTAGAAAAATGAAAAAAGTCATCATTAGAAGATAGATGGCAACTTTCAAAATTGACAAATATTACACAATCCTACAGCAGTTGTTCACCATATCCTGCAAGTACATCCCCAATAAAGTGCTTCCACATGAGCATTTCTATGTCACGGCCTTAAGTGCTGCTAATCTGAACTGGCTAGAGACACAATGTACATGGATGCAAAGGGTCAAGGTCCAAGAACTAAGTAATAATTTGTGCCAAACCTCTAGCAAACCTCTTCCCCAATCATCCCGGATCTTCCAAGGAGCAAAGAAACACTCCTCTCGTGGCACAAGTAATGAGGACCTTAAAGTACTCAATTTATTTATTATTATCATCATCATCATTATTATTCTTATTAATATTATTAGTAATAATAATTATTATTATCAGAATTATTATTATTATAAAAAGCAATCAATCTTTTTTTACATTCAGTCAATAAAATTAAATCTAATATTTTTACACAACTTGATTCTAAAGCTAAGCCTAAATACTATGTGAAACCAATCTATAAATTCAATGAACAATGCTCAAAATCCAGCTATAACAATTCTTTAGATAAGAATGTCTGAAGCTTTCAAATTCTTAATAATAACAATCACTTATAAGATCAAGGAAGCTAAAAGAGTGTTTCAGTATTTACATAATTTACATTCCAGCAAACATATTTACAATACACTCGATAAACCATGAAACTATATTTTACACATAACAGAAAGAGATTATTATTATTATAATTATTATAATTATTATTATTATTATTATTATTATTATTATTATTATATCATCTTGTTTAACAATACCATTTCCAGTTCTTGTTTGAGATCATCAAGCTTGTCTTTGTCCTTTTCTTTACCCTTCTTTCCCTTCTTTCCTTTTTCTTTTTCTGGAGCATGTTTCACTAAAGGAGTTTTTACAGCTTTGTCTTCACCTGCTTTCCCATACTACAAAGAAAAAAAAGATCAACATCACTGGCATCGTCCTCTCCATCATCAACCTTTTTAATGCAATGCTTTCCCAAATCTCAAAAACAATTATTATCACAGTTGTCCGATTAAGGCTTAATACTTATACGTAGCTTTTGTTATGAGAATTGGACATTTTNCTCTGGAATTATACCAAACATGGTTATGAGAATTTGGTGTTAGATCAGGATAACAAATTCTACTTGATAAGTTAGAGTATTCTCATTACATGAAACTAGAAGTCTCATGTTAATCATTTCTAGGAGTTAGAGAGTTAATAAAGAAAAGAAAAAAATACTCCCATAATGACATTTCCATTGGCTACTTCTATGCTTCATAAAGTACTTGAATGTAGTACAGACAAATTATAGTGCTTTTAAAAATTCTGAGGTTGATAGAGGTAAGTCAAAGACAGAAGACTTTCTCATCCTAGAAGTACCACAATTATATTTATTTCAAGACAGTGAAATCATACACGTATCTGTGAATATTTTCAGAGATCTTCTGTGTTCCAGAACCACCCCCACCCCCACCCCCCCAAAAAATTTTTTTTAAGTCATGTGTCTGGAGTGCCTCTTTAGCAGCAGGCTCCCATGAGCAGCATGCAGCAAAGGAAAACCTCTATAATTATACATTTCTTTATTCTTATCATTTGTCTGCTCAATATTGTAAGAAGAAATGTAAGAATCAAAATAATTCTGTCTTGGCCACTCATACGCATGGAAGTTTTATTACAGTTTGCAGGGGTTTCACTAATGTTTTTCAGGAGGGCAACTGGTTTTCACAGACAGGCAAAACTTTTTGAACTGAACTTCTTTATAAGATAAACTTTCTCCCAGATGGTCAAACCAAGTGGGCAAAACCATCCTCACAACTGGTCCATTTGCCCGGGTCCTGGCCCTTGATAAAACCCTTGTGGTTGTCATGGAACCCTCGCAAATCTATTTTTTTTTTTTCTAGCCATTTTACTTTACTTTCTTGCTACAGCAGTTCTCATGGCTTAAAATAACTGCCAGTCAACTGAACAGATACTGTCCATTACAATATAAGTTTTGTCTGTGTTGTCTGTTTAGTGAGATATTCATGACATAATGGATATCAGTTAAAAATTTAATGGTTTGTGTCCACGCAAAATAGCTTTGACCAGACAACTTGAATTATAATTATGCATATAGATTTATGCACAATATAAATAATAAATATTAAGTATTATTACTTGAATGGCACCAGCTGAGAAATCAATTCGAGCCCTGTACCTGATTTTTGTTGGTCAGGAAATAAATGACAAGAGAAAGACTAAAGGAAAAATACACACTGTACCTCGTCCGCAGTACCACCAACATCAAATGTTTCCTGAAGGTAGGCAGCCCCTAGCTCATCTTTTTCTTTGGTGCCATTCTCCATGGTCTGAAAATAAAAACCATATTTTCTATCACCAAAATATCATCTTGCTCATAGCAATAAATCAAACTGCCTTTTCTTATAGAGTGAACTTCCTGGAAAAACTGAACATCATAGCGAGCATGTAGATTGACGTATCAACTTACAAATCGGTAAGAAATAAGAAAGTGCAGACATGTTGTAAAATTATGACCAAACAGTATAACTCATGAATGAATGAATGCAAAAGCAAGTAAATATGAGAAACTGAATTAAACTGTCACCCAAAATATTACCCAAAATTTTGAATCGAAGTTAAATTTCAGACAGTCACACAAATTAAATACAAGCTGTTTCAGTTTGTCAGTATAATACTGAATCTGATAGAAGTCTCGAGAAATAGAAAAACACCACTGACAAGACTTCTTGTTTAATCTACCAGACGAGAATTTTGTATAAAATGGCAAAACATTACTGATAATGGTGTCCACAAAGCTGTTTATTGGTCAGAAGTAATAATCTTTGTACATTTAAAAAGAAAAAATTAGGAGAATAAGAATATTTAATATTAGGGTGATAAATATTTTATGAGGCAAAAGAGAAATCACCTGCTGTTATTAAATAAAAAAAAAACACAGGCTACTGCATCAATTATGAAAAAAAGATATGAAAAAATATTAAATACACACTTGAAGAATATTCCAGCCAAATTCAATGATCAGCTCCCATAGCTATTTCTCATGTTTCAAACTGGATGAGATTTAAAATGATCACATCTTGAATTGGTTCACATTTAATATTCTTACATCTGTTTACTGTCAAATTTAAGAGTCATTAACTTTTAATCCAGAACTTGGAATATGTGTCATTAGAGTAGCTTAAAATATTACAAAGAGACCACAGTTTAATAACAGTATGATTTGGTTAGAAAGTGTGTGTGTTTGCATGTGTGTGTGTGTGTGTGTGTGTGTGTGTGCATGTGTGACAGTTAGGAGATGGCCAATACTTCATGTGATTGATGATCAACAGAAGAATAAGCAGCTGCAATCACAAGGGGTACTTTGTAAGTCTAACCAATATTATTAAAAACTAGATCATTGGATAATGCAATTCAAGACTTTTTATTGGCTTAGCCATTATGGT